GCTCCCCTGTGCTCCCCCCTCACCCCCCAGGGGCGCACGGCCGCCTCTCACACTCGGACGATGCGAATAAACATCGTGGCTCGCAGTGCGTCTGCGTCGGCGCCTCCATAGGGCACAGAGCCCGCGATCCCAGACCCGGGGGGGCTGCGTGGATCTGTGGGTCGCCCCATCCATGCCCCCCTTGTCCTGGCGCTGGGCCCCACTGAGCTGAGCGCAGCCCCCAGATACCCGTGGTGCTGATCAGATCCCTCTCAGCCCTGCGTCCCCAGGAGAACCTCCTGCACAGGAAGCTTCTTTGTTCAGCCATTGGCCAAGCGAGGCGCCATTCTCCTTGGCCGTAGGACGCACTGCTGGCCCAGCGTCAGCTTTCAGTCAACCGCTGGTCAGCCATTGGTCAGCCATTGGTCAATCCTTGGTCAGCCATTGGTCAATCTTTGGTCAGACATTGGTCAGTCCTTGGTCAGCCATTGGTCAGCCATTTGTCAATCCTTGGTCAGCCATTGGTCAGCCATTGCTCAATCCTTGGTCAGCCATTGGTCAATCCTTGGTCAGCCATTGGTCAGCCATTGGTCAATCTTTGGTCAGCCATTGGTCAGTCCTTGGTCAGCCATTGGTCAGCCATTGGTCAGTCCTTGGTCAGTCCTTGGTCAGCCATTGGTCAGTCCTTGGTCAATCTTTGGTCAATCCTTGGTCAACCATTGGTCAGTCCTTGGTCAATCTTTGGTCAGTCATTGGTCAGCCATTGGTCAATCCTTGGTCAGCCATTGGTCAATCCTTGGTCAGCCATTGGTCAATCCTTGGTCAGCCATTGGTCAATCCTTGGTCAGCCATTGGTCAATCCTTGGTCAACCATTGGTCAGTCCTTGGTCAATCCTTGGTCAGCCATTTGTCAATCCTTGGTCAATCTTTGGTCAGCCATTGGTCACTCCTTCGTCGCTCCTTGGTCAATCTTTGGTCAGTCATTGGTCAGCCATTGGTCAGCCGTTGGTCACTCCTTGGTCCCTCTTTGGTCACTCCTTGGTCAGCCATTGACCAACCAGGACCCCACTGTCCCTGCTGGCCTTTCAGGCACATTCTGGCTCACGGTCCATCCTCGGTCGACATCTGCTCCATGTTGGCCGCTGTCAGCACAGAGCCGGGCCCAGGCTCCGCACAGCAGTGAGCAGTGGCCCAGCAGCCCGCAGGACGGCGCACGGGGGGCCCCGGGGTCCCAGTTGCCCAACTGCCCTCCATCATAGGGGAAAAGTTGCCTCTGTCAGGCCGGGTCCCCAGCTGGCGGCTGGAAAAGGGAAACCCTGCTCTGTTCTTAAGAAGGGGAGAAGAGAAGAGCCGGGAAGCACCGGGGCTGCGGTGCAGGAGGGGGCATCGAGGACGGGTTGATCCCAGTGCCAGGCGTTGTGGAGGATGGGGGCAGCCTGAGCCGCGCAACATTGGCAGCAGGAGGGGATTTTCTTTATGTTGGGGCTGCGGAGCTCTGCTGCTTCGTGGCTCAGACTGCAGGCGCTGGGCGCACGGAGCGTTTTGGTGTGTGGATTTTTTACCTTTTTAGCGACTGCCAGCTGTGAATCTGATCTTCATTTCAGGAGCGCCGGATTGAAGGCCGTGATGTTTTTTGGGACTTATTGTCCTATGATGTCCAACACTGACAGCACCAAAGCCTGGGTGCCAGGGGGCGGCACAGGAGGGACCGGCACCACCTCCTGCAAGGCAGGGTGGGAGCTGCAGCACCGCAGGGTCCCCTTTAAAAGGAGGGTTTAATAAGGAGTTGTTTAATGAGATGCAATGTTTAATGAGGCGCCTGTGTGCACATTCGAGCTCACGGCACGCAATAGAAGCTTCTGTTCTGTGCTGAGTCCAATTGCTGCAGGTAAACCTTGATCCTATTTGCCTTCCTCAACCTGTATGAGGACCTGTGGACTCCAGCAGGGCACGGAGGGCTCAGAGCAGCCTTCTGTCGGGTCGGCAGCACCGTCTCGTATCCTCGGAAAGCCCAGAGCTCCGTCTGAGGTTCCCTCGTTGTTCCCGGGGCTCAGGATCCAGCAGCGATTTCATAACCCAAATATTTCACCCTGCTGGGCTCCCCGGGATCAAACTCGCAGCCGTTAAACCCAACAAGGTTTAGTAGCTGGTTGCCCCCCATGCAAACCTGCTGCGCTTCGGCAGCTTCCTTTCCCAGCGCCTCCCCCACTGCAACTCGGTTCCTGAGAAGACGGGGGCGATTTTGAACCCTTGGGGAAGCCTGCAGGGGATCCTGCCGCCCAAAGGCAAAGCTGAGCTGATGCTCCGGACTCAGCAGGCAAAAGACGGCGACTTTTAGGTGCAGAGGGCAGCCCTGCCGATTCCCCTGACCGCCGAGCAGCAGCGCCTGCAGGTTGGCCGCCGGCGGTACGAAGCCTCCGCTGCTCCACTGCCAGCCCTGCAGCCCTGCGCCACCCCGCGGCTCCTCCTCCATCGGGATGGGCGCGCTGTGCTCCGCTCCGCTCCACCACCACCCCAGCGTCTGAAAACGGTCGATTATGGGCCGGATTCCTTTCCTACCTTCAAATTTGAGGGGGTGATGATTGCTGAGATCCGGCTGAGCTCCGCGCTTCATTCCGCATGCTATCGGCGCTGCGTTCTCAGCCCTTCCTTGGGTTTCTCCTGCCCTCACTCCAGGATGAACCCCACGCTCTGCCTGGGATCCCGGCCCCCTTGTCTGCCTTAAGCATCCAGCAAGCTCTGAGCAACGCTGCCCCTTCTTAAACAACTTGAAAGAAATGCGTTCTGCACCAACTACACCGCATTCATAACCAGAACCCCAACCGGAACCCCAACCCCACGTGGACGCACGGCTCAGCCCGCACGCATTGCGGGGCACAGATGAGCGCTCGCTCAAACTCCGCTCAGAGGGGCGGAGGGAGGCGGGGGGGGGGTTGGGGTGGTGCTCACGGGTGGCTGCGGGGCGGAGCGGGGCGGTGGGCACCGACCTCAAAGGAGCCCCGGACGGAGCGCATCGCCCCCCTTTCCCCCCCTCTTGATGCGGGGCGGCGTTCGGGACAGCGCCCCCTGCCGGCGGGGAGGCCCGCGCTTGCCGACCCTTGCATCACCCTCCAGTTCGCCCTGCCCCTCCTCTCTCATTGGCTCACTGCTCCGTGACGTCATTACATGACGGGACGATTATTGGCCGAAGCTGACGTAGCGGCATGTCGCGCGAAGGCTATAAAAGGGGAGCGCTGCGGAGGGGCGGTGCAGAAGCGGCTGAACGGCGGAGGACGATGCGAGGGAGGATGAACGGAGCGCAGCGGGAGGAGCCGGGCTGCGGGGAGCCGGGACCGGGCAGGAAGGTATGGGGGCCTCCGGGGGGGTCACGAAGGGATTTTCCTTCGGGCGTGGGGCCTCCGGGGGTTGGGCTCCCGGGGGGGAGGTTTCTGTGGCGGGGCTCCGGAGCGGGGGGCGTCCTGGCGGGGGGGAGGGGCTCCAAAGGGGTGCGGTCCTGGGGGGGCTTCCGGGGTGGGAGGCTCCGGGGGAGAGGGAGGCGCCCGGGGTTGGATTCCCGTTGGGCTCTCGGGGGAGGAGGGGGGCGCCGGGACCCCCCGCTCTGTGCCGCGGATGGGGACCCGCCCGGCTCGTGTGACACCGCTCTGCCCCGCAGGCATCCAGAAGGAAGAGCGTCCTCGTAGGGCAGCACACGTGAGAGCTGCGGGTAGCGGGGGGGCACAGCTCCGTTCTGCTTCAACCCCCCTCCGTCGCTGCGTCCCAACATCCCCGGGATTCCCGTTGACCGATGGCGGCCGCCGGGGAGCCGCCCTCCGACGAGCCGCCCGCGTGGTTCCTGGAGCTGCAGGAGCTGCAGGAGCTGCTGATGGCAGTGGAGCCCCTGGAGCCCCCCGCCCCCGGGGGGGCGCAGCAGGTGAGCAGCGCGGGGCCCGGCGGGAACGGGGCGAGCGGACGGACGGAGCCCCGTCACCGCTTCCCCCGTGCGTCCCCGCAGGAAGAAGAACCGGCCCCGCTCTGGGCTGCGGGGGACCCGGCGCGCCGCGAGCCGGACGAGACGCTGAGCGCCGAGCTGCTGCAGCTCCTGGGAGCGGACGGCGCGATCGGCGCGGCTCCGGAGCCCCCCCAGCCCCACCGGAACCCCCCCGGAGAGGCGGAAGGGGGGCGGCCCGGGGGGCGCGGGGCGAAACGGAAGCGCGCGGGGGGGGAGCAGCAGAGCGAGCAGCGGCTGCGGCAGCTGAGCGCCCACAACGAGCGGCTCCGGGCTGAGGTCGGGCGGCTGAGCGCCGAGGTGCAGCGCATGCGGGCGGCCCTCATCGAGCGCGTCCTCAGCCTGCGCCGCGCTTAGGGGGCGGATGGGGCGGCCCGGCACTTGGGGGGCAGCGCCGCGGCACGGACCGAGGGCTTCAGCACCGCTGTACGGCATCTGTGTTTTATTACACGCGTGGCACGGCGCCGTCCCGCTCTGTTATTTCTTCCCCGCGTTCTGAGCCAGCGCCAGCTCCCGTTTCAGTGCCAGCAGTTTGCCCACCTCGCCGTCGATGCGCGCTCTGTCCGCCCCGCTCGCCTTCAGCTGCCGCACGCAGTCGCCCTGGGCAAGAGAGGGGTGAGGAGGGAGGGGGGGGCGTTTTGGGGGCGGTGGGGCTGCTTGCTGCCTCCCCCCCCGCGCTCACCTGCTGGGCCACCTGCTCCATCAGCTCCTGGATGCGGCTGGGGGGGGTGGGAGCCGCGCCTGGCGCTGAGGGGGGGTCTGACTGCTGGGGGGGTTTTGCCTGAGGAATGGGAAAGAGAAAGAGGAAGATGGGGCTGCGTCCAATGCTGCGTGATGAGGATGGAGCCATGGTGGATGAGCAGTGCTGGGGGAACCTGGGGCTGGAGGGGGGAGAAAGAAGAGAAACAGAAGAGGTGCCAAAGCAGAGGAGAATTACAGGGGGGTCTGGGGAAGTAGGGTGGGAAGGAGAACCAGAAGAGGCAGAGGGGAGAGATGCTGTGGCAGAGGAGCATTGCTGGGGGGCAGAAGAGACAGAGGGACAAAGAGCTGCAATGGCAGGGGAATGAAGAAGCGCCGGGATGGATGAATTAATGCAACCGGGGGGGGCTGGGGGATGGAAGGAGGACCAGGGGAGGCCAAGGGGGGAGGAGGTGCCTCAGTGCAGAGCAGCACTACTGGGGGCCTTTGGGCTGGGAAAGAAGGGTAAGAAAACAGGAGAAGCAGAGGGATGAGGAGGTGCTGGGGGGCTGGAAGGGGAAACGTGAGAGGCAGGAGGAGGAGGTGCCACGGCCAAGCAGCCCCCACTCACCTGCCCCCCCCCGAAGCGCTTGCGGAGGGCGTCGATGCGCTCACTCTCCAGCTTCTGGAAGAGCGGACTCACCTGGGGGCAACGAGAAGCAGGCTGAGCGCTGCGAGCCCCCCATCGCCCCCCGCCCCCCCTGCTGCCCCCATACCGTGCCCACGCGGTGGCCGGGGGGCAGCGTGCAGGTGAAGACGTGGCTGAGCACCGAGCGCTCCGGGGGCAGGCAGAGCTGCGCCTCGATGGCCGCGCCGACGGCCGGCATGTAGGGCTGCACCAGGACGGCCAGCAGCGCTGCCACGTTCACTGCCACGCCGGTCACGGTGCCGGCACGCTGCCTGCGGGACGTGAGGCTGACATGGGCGCCGAGTCCCGGCCCCACATCCCCCCCCGCGATGCTCTGCCCCCCCTTCACCTGTCCTCCTCGCCGCCCTTGATGCGCTTCCAGGGCTCGTTCACCTGGATGTATTGGTTGCCGTGGCGGGAGATGTTGAGGACGCAGCGCAGGGCGTCGCGGATGCTGGGGGAGGACAGACGGATGGGTGGACAGACAGAAGGGGTCAGCGGGTGCCGGGGGAGCGCCCACCCATCTCCCATCCTGAGCCCGGCCCACGGCCACACACCGGACCGTCTCCAGCAGCCGGTGGTACTGCCGCAGCTCCGCCGTGACGCGAGCCAGGAGCCGGTGGTCATCCGGCGTCAGCACCATGGGGGGCACCGCGCCGCCGAAGAACTTGCAGACAAACATCCCGGCTCTGCGGACAGAGGGACGGACGGAGCGGTGTGACAGCAGCCCAGGGGCGGACGCTGGGCCCCCCGCTGCCTCCCACCTGTTGATGAAGTTGCCCAGGTTGTTCAGCAGCTCCGAGTTGTTCTTCAGCATGAGGTCGCTCCAGGAGAAGGCGCTGTCCTGGCCCTCGGGCCGCACGTACAGCAGGTAGAAGCGCCAGACGTCGGCGGCGATGCCCGTGTCCTTGGCCATGTCCCCAAACACCCCCACGCCGCGGCTCTTGGAGAACTTCCCGTCCTCGTAGTTCAGGTACTCTGGGGGGGAGGCAGGGAACGGCCCCACGCGGCGTCAGAGCCCCAGGTCCCACAGAGCAGTCACTGTCCCACGGCACGGTCGCAGCCCCATGGAACCATTACAGCCCCACAGAGTGGCCGTGGCCCTCGGTCACAGCCCCACAGCATCGTCACGGCCCCACAGAGCGGACACAGCCCCATAGAGTGGGCACAACAACCACAGAGCCATCGCAGCCCCACGGAACCACCACAGCCCCACAGACCAGTCGCAGCAACCACACAACAGTCACAGCCCTACAGAACCATCATGGAGCCATCGCAGCCCCACAGCGCTCAGAGGCCCCTCTCACAGCCCCACAGGGCGCTCACAGCTCCTGCTCACGGCCCCCCCATACAACCCCAGCCCCATTCCAGACATGGGAGCCCCCCGACCCCCCCAGCACCTGTGGCAATGAGGTGGTTCACCAGCGTGTAATTGTCGTCGGCGCCCAGCAGCGAGCAGGGGAACACAACGCTGTGGAAAGGCACGTTGTCCTTGGCCATGAAGTTGTACAGCTCCACCTGAGGGGGACGCGGGTCAGCAAAGCCCCC